TCCTTTCTTCCTAGGTGTTTTCTCATTGATTTAGTTCTACCCACCCACTTGCACAAACACAAGCCCTAATCTTCTTCTTTATTGCCTTTGATTAGTCAGGCAGAGTCACGGCCTACAAAGTGCCTCTACTTAGACATTTTATGCTCGCACACGCACACACCAACACCGCCCAGAGGTCAAGATGTGTGAACGTCCAGACTTTGATTTCGTTCTCCCCTGATGTGACTCGCCCCTCTATCAGACCTCATTTACCTGCACATTCCACTGATTGGTAAAGGCTTATCTGTCGATTTGTCTCAGTGACCCAATCACAGGGCCTCGAAGCTGCTATCATTGTCAAGGACATGAACAAGATGCACACGCATGCAAAGAGGCTCACAACCAGAAAGGGAATAACAAATTATTTTTATTATCTTGTATGTTCTGATTTTGTTATATGTGTATACAGATATACCTATATGTGCACAAATACAGCTATTTATTTGGTTTCCAGGCCATTAATGGATCTGGAGGCAGTGGTGTGATCAAAGGAGACTTCCATTTATTACACCTGACTGTAAAAAGGTAGCTTTGGTATTTTTCACTCCGGACCCTATTTAACAAAGTGTCAAAGTGACTTATGGAAACATGTATTTTTTAATCGGCCCAGTATTGAGTGGGAAGGTTGCAGATTTTTATTCTTGTCTGACAAAAGTGTCAGCAATGAAAACATTATGAAAAGGATCCCTACAGAGATAGACCTTTTTGTTAGAGAGTAAGATCCTCACCAGACTCCATTTGTACAAACAATAATTTTATCATGATGAAACGCACGTCATCCAAAGTCAACAGAATGAAAATAAAACTAGCAAAAGACATCTTGGTTCTTGTTTCCACTGTTCCAGCAATCACCTCCTCTGGTTTGGTTGAAATAAAGCCTTAACTGACCCATTTAGATGTGAAAATATGTTGGCTCTATACACAATAAAACAACTTTATTTATATGGAGTGTGGTGTGTTTGGCGATGGTGATTTTCAGGCTGTTTCTGGTTAAACAAAAGGGATGTTACTCTTTAACAAAATGGTCTATCTCTGTAGGGATCATTCCAATAATGTTGTCAGACACTTAGATTAACAATCTGAGCCTGTCAGTGGCAAAGAAACACTTTCAGTGGACGTACATTGTCCAAAATGTCCTAACTGGTTACTTTACAGCCTGTTTCACAGCAGCTCCCTCGCTTAATACTGGACCTGTTTCAAAAATTGTTGTTCCCATTTGTCACATAGACACACACACACACACACACACACACACACACACACACACAAAATGGGAAAATAGGGTCAAGGTTGAAAAATTCTGAAATTACCCTTTACATTTCCTAGGTTGGTTGTAATTTGTCTTTGTTTAGCATATCAGATATTTGTAGGTTGTTCTGTGCTCCTGCTGCTCCCATGTGACATTTATTAGAAGTTTTCTTTCATCTGTACTTGGTCTGGTCTAATTGTTAATTTATATAATGGGCCCAGGTGCACCATGGTCTCTGCAGCATACTGATATAAACCTTGGGTTTGTGTTGCTGATTTGTTGGTGTTCTTTGAGTGGCACCGTTTTCTTGGCTTCATTTCTGGTATATCCTTTGCCTTTTTTGGTGCTTTTGGGGACCGTTCCACGCCGCCAACGTGTGCTTGGCTCAGGGTCTCGCTTTCTTTTTGTTACATTCCATGAGCCTGTTTTTTTCCCCAAAATGTAAGTCCCACAGATCTGACCCAGGGGCTTAAATATGAATGGGTTAGAAGATTGCTTTTTCTGTTTTTTCCTACAAAGAAACAAAAACTTATGCCATTCCAATATTTTAGAGACACTATAAACATATACAAACTAAGCACATAGGGGCTAATTTCGTTCTTACTGCCTCTTCACTGTTTAAAATATCATCTTACTTGTAAAGTAGAACTCTTTACAGTCATAACAGGAGTATCATCAGTTAATTCAACCTCACGCAACCTGAATCACCTCACTGTCAAAGGAATTATACTGTATTTTGCGGAGTGTTTCTTTTTATAGACTCTATATAGACTCTGACTTTGACTCTGACTCTGATTATAGACTCTGACTTTATAACCCATTACTCAGCTGAATTGAACTTACTGGAACTTGTTCATTATGACATGACTTGGAAAACCTGTAAAACGGAATGACTCAGTAGGTGTCAGACAAAACAAAGTCCGTACATCTCAGAGATGTGTGGGAGATAAAGTGTAATTAACAAGGTGTTTAATTACCAAAACAGACACAAAAGTAAACACTGAATATTGTTATTGTAGTACTTAGATTCTTAATCTCTTTTTAATGACAAGTCAGTTAGTACACACACACACACACACACACATACACAATACCTGTAAGCATTTAAATACGCTCATTATGAAACTCCATGGAGATATTCTGATGCTGCCTTTCTGGCTTTTGTTTGTTGCCTGCTTAGTTGTGTTGTTATCGTCAAAGTCAAACAGAAGTGTATTGTTTCTACTAAATTGTTAAGTGCAAAAAATAATGTACAAAAGTGTTTGGGCTTAAAAAAGCTGGGCGGGGGTGTTAATGTGGGTGTATGAGAAATGGAGTTTGTTTTTAGGTATTAAGTGTGAGGATTTGTATGTTTATCCCAACTTACATAAGTAGAATAACCTTTTTTCAGATGACTCCTCTTCTTACAAACCTTACAGCTCAAAATACACTGATACCAAAAGGTTTCACAAACAATACATCTGTTCCATCGAATGAAAAGAAAAGGAAAGTGCATCAGATCACCTCAAAGGAGTTACAAAACAAAAAGTAAATATTTAAGCACAGGAATTATTCATATTATATTCAGCTTTCATTCTTGTGCACACGTGTTGGTCCCTGAGCTCGTGTGCTTGCCCATGGCTCATAAACCTGAGCTGTATTCCGTCAAAGGCAGCTCGCACAACGAGCCTGTTCCCTAATTGGTGCTTGAGCTTTTAAATTGCCTGTGTTTTCTCACAGCCAAGCAAGTCTCCCAAAATGGTAATCTGAGCAATTCCCCCTTTTAAAAGAGAGAAATAGCGTCAAAGTTCAGCATTAAGCATGTTTTCCTGTCTCAATGCTCTCTAGGTTCCCTTGCAAGTGTACGTCCCACTCTGCCTCAGGCGAAATAACATTTTATGGGGAGTATTTGATTTGCATTATACAAAAGTTAAACTCAACAAACTTTTCCCAAAGGGTAATAAAAAGTGCCACCAGGTTCCTGATAAAGGTCTTTGACCAAAACTTTGCATCTCTAATAAAGTCAGTGCTAATGGTGTGTGGGAGCTTTACTTTCACATAATTTCTCTTCCTATGTATGGAAGGCCATTTCCGCCAGTGTAATGAAAAAAAAGTCCTATAAGTCATTATAATGTGAAAATTTCTCCAAAAAATGACCAAGTATCCCAAAATAATAAGCAGTTATCTCAAAATAATGAAGTACTCATCTTAGAATAATGACCTAATATCTCAAAATAGAGGAAGTTTCTCATTATTTTGAGATCAGTTTTTTTTTTTTTTAGCTTTTCATTTTTTGACATATTTATTCATCATTTTTGAGAAAGTTTCTCATTATTTTGAGATAATTAAGTCATTAACTTGCAAGTCATTATTTTGAAATGAGTAAGTTTTATTTGTGATAAACTCATTATTTTGAGATGCTTAGTCATACTGTTGAGATATTTATTTTAGTTTCACATATTAACTCATTATTTTGAGAAGTTAAGTAATTCATTGTTTTGCGTTGCCAAGTCATTAGCTTGAATTGAATGAGGGTTTTTTTTGCTGAGAAAGTTTCTCATTATTTTGAGATGCTAAGTCAATGTTTTTGAGATAAATAAGTCATTATTTGGGGATATTAAGTCATTATTGTGAGATAAGTAATTTTTTTGAGAGAGTTTCTAATTATTTTGCGTCATTATTTTGAGATAAGTACAGTGTTTTTTTTTTTTGTTTTGTTTTGTTTTTTATCTGAGAAAGATTCTTATTATTTAAAGATACTAAGTCACTAATCTAAAATAAGTAAATCATTATTTTTGCTATACTAAGTCATTATTTTGAGATGAGTAATTTTTAAGTAACACTTTAAAAAAAATTTTTTTTTGACATATTAGCTCATTATTTTTGGGAATGTTTCTTATTATTTTGAGATAGGTAAGTCATGATTTTGAGATGAGTAATTTTTTTTTCTCGAGAAAGTCTCTCATTGTTTTTATGTATTAATTCATTGTTATAAGAAAGTTTGTCATCATTTTTATTTAAGTAAGTCATTATTTTTGAGAGATAAGGGGTTTTTGTTTTGCTTTTTTTTTTTGTTTTGTTTTGTTTTGGGGGGTTTTTGGTGTTTGTTTTTTTGGTGAGAAAGTTTCTCATTATTTTGAGATGCTAAGATGAGTAATTATTTAGCAATATTAAGTCAAAAAAAGCAAGGGAGAGACCCTGGCTTCATCTTACTGGTTTATCCTGCATCTGTCTCAGTTTCTTGATGTTTTTAAAGAGTTAAATCAAGCATCCTAAACTGAGCAGAAGAAATAAATCATTAAGGTCAATAACAGCCTGTAACAGAAAAGTCACATTAATACAATCTAAATGTTTCATTGTTCAGTACAGGCCTTTTCATTCACCTCCTTTGCTGGAGGGAACACTGAGCTCTTTGTAGCTGTAGCAAATATTTACACCCCTGCTCATGTATTCTGCCTGTGATCTAGAAAAGCTAAAAAGCCTCCAGATTGGAGATATGGGAACACATTAATGCTTTGTAGTTTTGCCATGTTGCTACAGAGGAACAAAAATATTCTCTCAGTTCAGTTTTCTTTCATTCCCTTACTCCCTAATCTCATTATTAGGAACATGTGACTTCATCTATCTAGTTTATATATGTGAGTAACAATATCATAAAGCTGCACTTTGTAATTATGTCTGGAAACACAATCAAGTGAAGTGCTAACCAACCAATTTACTTTCTGTCTATCAGGTAACTCACCTTCGGAGGAGTCTGAGGAGCGCGACAAGGAACCGAGGACGCTGACCTACCCTGCGTACATCGCCAGTCTGCTGGACACGGGTGCGAAGCGCATGGCGGCCGGTGTTCGCATGGACTGCAACAGCCAAGGCCAGTGTCCACGCTCCTGTCACCTCTGCCACATGAGCCCGAGGGTGGTGCAAGGGAGGCAGCAGTCCGAGCCTGTCCTGCTGCAGATCACCAAGGCCGCACCCATCTATGAACTGGTGTCCAACAACGAGACCTACCAGGTGTGTAGTGTTTATTCTTAATTATCTGGGACTGTCTAATATTTGAAAGCACCAATCTCTTATAGAATCCATCCCACATTTCTGTGATACCCTCAAAATTGGTGGCTGCATCTTCTCTTATCCTTTTTGACTGGATTACACATTTCCTGTGAAACATTAAAGGAAACATTTATTGTCTAATGCCCTAGAATGTAAACTTTTCCTCCGTTTCCTCATCTAAGCTAACTTCACTTGCAGCTCATATCACAAAATAAAAAATCCCAGCCTCCATATGTTTGTGACTTTATGTGGGCGATCCATCAGAGCTGATAAACCCTGCAGTTTCATTATGAAAGAGGTTACAGAAACAGAGAAGTCTTTTCCTCTTGGAGTATATTGCCTTACTCTGCAGGTGGCATGCTGTGCTGTACTGCCGTACTGTGCTGTGACTTATTTGACTCCATCGATACTGTGCAGTACGTCGTTACCTCTTCTACTCCTCCAGCAGGAAGAGAGGTCGATCCAGTGCTTTCCATGCTCCTGGGGGGTCAGACTTTCATCACAAGTTCAGCCAGATACAGCCGCTGTTACTGACAAAAGCTGTTTGGAGGTTGCTCGTGTTTGACTGTGCAACTGGCGGTATAGACACAATGCACAGGAAACATTTAGAATATTTAATATTTATTTATTTATTTTTTTGTTAAAGCTTACACGTGTCATTATAACATATAACTACTGGGAGTATGTATATAGCCATCTCTGATCAACTGATATGAGGTTTATTTTGTTAAAAGAGCGCTAGTTTTGCTTACCTAACAGTAAAACAACAATACAAAAACAATCTCAAGAGATCGTGAACGTTATGCTGTCTGTAACATCATCCAGCATGACCGCTTTGGTGATGGGTTAGTGACGGTCTGGGGAAGCATATCCTTGGAGGGTTATACAGACCTCCATGTCATAGCCAGTGGTACCCTGACTGCCATTAAGTACCAGGATGAAATCCTCAAATCCTCATTCTTTTGATCAAAACATTTTTACACGTCTTCACACATATGGTTATACACAGCTGGTTCCCTGTGGAGTTTTAGACCTCTAGTACAGTAGCGAGTCCTTGTTCTGTTTGTTTTGTGCACGCCCACAACGCGATGCCAATGCGAATGTTTTCACACCACTCCACTGATCTGCAGGTGAAGGTAACACACCGAGATATGCTGCAATGCACCAACAAAAACAGGGGAGATGAAAAACTGGGAGCTAGTAAACATGGATATACACAATGCTGGATTTTAAAAAACGTATAAAACCAGCAGTGCAAATGTTTTATGAGAGAGGAAACACATGTAACACATTTGTTAGAGCTCAAAGACACATACAATGTATTCTGGTGAGGAACATCAAATGTAAAGTAACTTTTGTTTGTTTACAAGAAAACACCAGAGGGCCCCTTTAATATCATGGCCAATGTGTGCATAATGTCCTGTAGCAACGGGTGTTAATGCACTGTACTTGCCCCATGTGTAGTTTCCATCCCTGACAGTGGGTAAAGAGGAGTCTGGATGGACATGCATCTCAGATTTAACCAGAGGGCTCTGTTGAACACCACCAGTTCTCTCCTGTCTATAGGATTTTTTTTTGATAAAATAAAATATTGAATAGCAAGTTATAACATGGGAAATGGTGTCCAAGGAATGTCTCAGGTTAAGGCATGGACCATAAAGTTGATACCCCCTCACCTTATTTCCTTTTATCTCTCTACTTTTACTTATCCAGAAAAGCCTCAAACGCCCCAAAATAATGGAAAACATGGGAAATGATTAAAGGAAAGATTTTTTAATATCCTCATTTAAACTAAAAGCTAATATAAAAGAGTTGATGTGGGAATCCAATTTCCCACTTACTATTTACATTCCGTACATTACGTTCCAATATGACATGTGCTTTGAATTTAGGTTTGTTTTTGTCTGTCTCTCTCTTTTTGTAGGCTCTTCAGGAAGCGATGATGAGCATGCTGTGGTGTTCGGGGAAAGGTGATGTAATCGATGACTGGTGTCGGTGTGATTCCAGCGCTTTTGGCACAGACGGACTGCCCACCTGCGCCCCACTTCCCCAACCTATGTTAGTAACTTAGAACAATATTACCTCCAAACACATACCATCCATCATTTTACTGGCAGAAATCTATCTCATGCTGCAGTAATCTCAAGTAAAGTGCCATAGGGATACATGTGTACACAGAATTTTATTGCGACTAAGTATTACAGCCATGGATGGATTACTGAATATTGCGTGTCTGTGCCCAGGGGCCCATTGTCTTATAATGTATCCATGATTATCCTGGCCATTGATTTATTGCTCTTGTCCGTTTTGGGAGTGCTAATCAATGAAATGTGCTGCTGCATTGATTGGAAAGCATTAAAATCTCTGTACACACGGGTCTCAGTGCTACATAGCTTTAGATCACAGCTCCAGAGTAAGCCAAGTCAGACATCAGGGGATAAATGGCTATATTTTCTGTTGACAGAAGTGTTTTTGACATTGCAGGATGCGTTTTCATTGGGTTGCAGTTTTGCAGAACGCAAAGGATGATGTTAACTGTCAATTACAGTAATGAGACCAGTTTGCTGACAACATCTTTCACTCAGCGGCGTGGTTTTGCATCTCTGTTACTGTGTTGCCAGGCTGAAACTGTCTTACACCTACGAGCCCAGCAGCTCATTGGTCATCATGGAGTGGAACCACACGGAGCCACCAATCGGCGTGCGGATCGTCGATTACCTCATTAGCCAGGAGAAGGTGACAGAGAGGACCGACCACTCCAAAGTTGAGACAGGTACGTCGGCCCAGAACTGCCCACATCAAGAGTTTGGCTATTGATGATAAACAAGCATCAACAGTTGGAATGTTGTGAAACAGGCTTATGTTGCCAGGCAACCAGTGATGCCAGCTTAAGTGGTGGTTAGTGAAACAAATGAAGTCATAAATATGTGTATTCTAAACTACCTAGATTTGCTTTAGATATTCAAAAACTCGACCATCCACTCACTGGCGCTTGCAGTGAGCAAGTGCAAAAAGAGGTTGTTCTCTTGGATTGGTGTCATTTGGTGTCTCAGCTCACTCCCTGTGTTTTCAGTACTTACTGAACCAGCAAGAGGGACTGTTGATGTTTTGGATGTGTACCACTTTGAGATGGGTAATGAGTAAGTAAGTTGGCCTGGCTTTGTATGGGCAGCTGTTGGCCAGTGTTCAATATTTATGCTGGCTCAAACCATAAACCCACCAATTTGTCAGTACCATGTGGCCACATAAGCTTAATTTGTTTTATCTAGTCTACAACCTGGAAGAAATCTCACTCCAAAGGTGAAAAAGGAGGGTTTTCATTATACTGCACATCTGCAGTTTGCAACAAGGGCTCACTACATGGTATCAACCTCTTGTTATCATAGGAGAAGCTTGAAACTTTAACTTTTGTGTATGCCCTGAGGTTTGGGAAACACATCACTTCATTTGTTTTAAGGCCTATTTTAGTTGTAGTTTTTAAGGCCTCCACAAGATGGTGTACACCAGTAATAATAATACTGTAGTATTTATTTACAGTATTTAGTTTGTTGATCAGACTGAATTCTGCTTTGCGTCTTCACACTGATTTCATAAAACAATCAATGTACTGTATTTATATATGCATTGTTATCTAATGTACTTCTGTAGATGCATTCACTGTTGCACAGGAGTCTTGCAATCTTTTAAACTGGTAACGACAAATTAACCATATGACAGTATGATGTTCATTTACACCTATGTGTTCCTCACTGTAATTGACAACACATCAAAACCAAAGTGTTAAAAATGTTACAGTAAAAGTTCTTTGCTTTTTTTCAAGCATCTTTTCAAAGGCTTTTAAATTTTCTCACAGTTTAATCCATATGGATTCAATGATTTGCTTATTAAGGTATGTTTTCCCTCATGTTTCCACTAAAAGGAGGAAATCATATAAGCAGCCCCAGGAGCAGCAGGAGCGTGTGCAGCTCTGTCATCCATAACAGAGCGCGCAGCTTATTTGGCTCGAGCTATATGAGCGGAAGCTGGCAAAAACAGGGGCAGTTTATTTAAGCAGTAATGACCCAATCCATAACGGAGACTGTTACAGTTCCCTGTGAGTACCAAAGTTTGTTGTAGCTTAATGAGAGAATAAACTGTATTAGTCAGAACAGTGAGGGTCATTAATCAATGCAGAGGACTCAGATGGGAGAGGAGAGCAGGTGAGCACTTTCTTTATTAGTGCTGTTATAGTAAAAATGAGCTATAAGTTGAGTAGTAATGCTCTTTTTAGCTGTGAGGGGTTTTATATTCTTTTAAACTTTGTACCATATATTAAAGTGTTTAATTAAGTCAGAATTTTGGAGCTCCAGCTGCCAACAAAAGACACAAACCACTCGTTCTATAGGAAAGGACTAAACTAATGCATGTCAATGGTTCTGTGTAAACCCTGCATACACATAAGGGAAAGAGGGGTTCTTGAATCCTGCAAAATCTTGAATTTTGCCCAGTACAGCAGTGGAGATGCTCATTTCTTGGATGTTACCGAATGAAAAGTAGTTACAGTACTTTTACTGCTGAGAGACAAAAACAGGCATAATATTCTCAGTCATTTTGACTGTGCGGTCACAGTATATGTAGTAAGTTTGTAACATGTAACCTGCTCTATCATTCACTAAACATTCATAAATCTGAAATGATGTGAACTGTGCTGCATACTGTAATATGCATGGTGGAATAACCACACATCAACCTGAACGCAGCCTGACATGACATCCTGCTGTGTGTGAGCAGATTGCCCCCTACTGATAACACATTTAAGAGGGTGCAACAACAGGTGTGGTTTGGGCTTTTGTTGGTGCTTCTGTCACCTGGCCAAAAGTATGTTGAACCCCTGACTTGCACCCAGGTTCTTAAGTCTTGTGGAAAGCTTTCCCAGAATATTGGAGGCTCTTTGGCAGCCCAAGGCCCACGGTATGACCCAGGGAGATTATGTAATGTATGAGTTAACAAAACTGTGCCAAATGTTGGCTGAGCATTGCTATGGAGGCTCATTATTAATGTTGAATGATGTTTTGATGTATCATTAGGTCCTGCAGTAGGTATCAGCAGTTGTGTAATGTAACTAAGTACATTTACTCAAGTACTGTACTTAAGTACAAAGTTTACTTACTTTACTTATTTTATACTTTTACTCCATTTCAGTGGGAAATATTGTACCTTTTACTTCACTACATTTATCTGATAGCTTTAGTTACTAGATACTTGGAAAAAACAAATTCAGAAATTTATAAAATATGATGTTTAGTTATTAGTTCATCTTCCCAACAAGTCCACTGAAACAATGAGTCAATTAGCTGATTGATAGAAAATTAAAGGGCCAGTGTGTAATATTATGCATGGTTTATTGTCAATCTGAATCTGAATCTGAATATTCTACCCATTAATATGTTTATACAAGTGTATGATCGCTATAAAATAAAATTCGTTTGGTTTTCGTAGCCTTATAATTATGCTTTTATATATATATATATATATATATATAGCAAGGGCCTTGCTTTAGAGAGGTCGCCATCTTGCGCCGCCATGTATGTACGGCAGACCGAGCGGACAATCCAGCCAGCCAGAGAACGCGTTTCGCGTGTATAAATGAACCAACGAAGACAGCGGAAGGAAGGAAGAAGGAGGAGGAAACAGCAGAGAGTGTTAGTAGTTCGTCGATAGAGAGTAGTGAAAAGTTTTTTTAGTTATAAAGTTTGCGAATGGACCACACTTACCACACAACAGGAGAGAATGAATCCGAACCGTCATCTGCGAGGAAAAGAAGACGCAACTTCACTCCTTGTGATGCACTCTCTGCGGCGCTTTTCCTCCTGATGATATATCTCCCCAACGATGGTAGCAGTAGCACCGAATCCCATTCTGTGCATTCAGCCTCTCTTCTCGCCAGCTCAGCATCAAACACATGGAGTTCCTCATCTGTATGCCCCAGCTCAAACAGGTATGGCTCTGGGTCTGTGTCCGCTACAAGAAACTCTTCAAAATTGCGTTCAAAGTTGTCCATTGCAGCTACTATAGTCCGGAGATATTGCTAGACTAAATAAACAGCTGAGCTCTGTTTACCGGCTACGCTGTCAGTCAGTGTGCGGGCTGGAGATTAGCGGAGCAGAGAGGGGAGGGGGGTCCCCACTCGGAATGGTAAACGAGTATGTGTGTAAAGTTATGAAGTGTGTCTGTTAGAAGAGTCAGAGTTTGGGACGGAGTGGAGTGTTACCGGAGTTTCTGGAGTGCTCAAATAAACGGGGCCTTTTTCCCGAACACTCCTCTGGTCTCCTGCTCGTGAGGGATTCATTACAATATCGTAACATGGTTTAGATTTCTAAATAAACATTCACCTCGTCGCTAGATAGACCTACTCCTGAAAAACTCGTGTCTGCGCAAGGCTTTTTGTCCCTACGAGGCCACCGTCATTTACCCGATGGGAGGGGTGAGCGAGTGAGCCCTGCAATCTAGAATTTGACCACTGATGTCACTGTTTTCAACGGTTTTCAACCCATTTTACACACTGGGCCTTTAATTGGCAGCTTTTTTAATACATATTTAAGTCATTTTCTTTTCTTTTTTTTTTTAGAGATGTGTTTTTTGGGTTTTGGGGTTTTTTTTGTTTTTCACTTTTCATTCTGTAAGTGCATTTTCCTGATTATACTTACTTACTTTTACTTAAACTTTTACTGACTGGGTATTTTGACAGTGTGGTATTTGTACTTTTACTTAAGTAAAGGAACTGAATACTTCCTCATCTACTGGGCATCAGGCAGGGGAGAAGTCAACATCCATCATAATATGAGTAATAATGAAATAGTCGGCAGCTAATATAATGTCAGCTACCTGATGAAAACCAGACAGGCTAAAATTTTGTAATCCAATGCACCTGTCACACATTCAGGTGTGCAGCCACTTTGTATGCCACTAACAGCCGTGGCCAGAGGTATTATGCTTTCTGGTTTTTCGTATGTATGTCAGATTCTCGTGAACTAGATATCTCAAGAAGGCCCTCAGAGAATTTCTTCATATTTGGCACAAACATCCACTCAGAATGGACTGATTAGAAATTGGTCACTGTGAAAGGTCACTTTGACCTCAAAAAACCTGTTTTGGCCATCATTCAAGAATATATATGCTAATTATGACAAAATGTCACACAAATGTCCCATACGATAAAATTATGAGGTTGTATCCAAAAAGGTCAAAGGTCAACTTCACAGCAACATCACAATGCTGCGGAGACACTTTTCTGGCCATTGCTCAATGCTGTAATTTAGGAATAGAAGGGGAGATATTTGGTCAGATACTGAATTGGTGACACTAATCTTGGGTGTCCATCTTGAAACTGTGCTCATTGTATAGATCAGCTTTGCTGCTGGGTTGAAGATGTGCATGTTTTAGAATATGTTGAGTCTTTGCAGAAACATTCATATTAAGGCACAATGGTACACTGTGGGCACGATCTCCTGCCTAGACATCAATACAAAGTCAGGTGTTTATTGCAAATAAAACACAACTTGTAATAGTAAATACATTTTGTTGGATATTCCCCCTTTTGATAGAGATTCAGTAGTTTGTTTTCAGTTTTTGTGTAAAATTTTCCCTAGAGGCATTTTTGAATGGCAAGCCTGGATTTTAGTGTGTAAGGCCTGTGTTGTTTTACAGTGCTGAAGCACACCCAGCAGATTTCAGAGACAACATTATTATTTATTCTTACGCACCATGTCACTGCGTGGCTTGGTTAGCCTTCTT